AGAAATAACAACCTAGAAAAACGGGAATTCAGGAAAACCTTTTAATGTCTTAATATTTTAAGGGTTACCAAGTAGAATACAGAGATTAGAGATCAGGTTCAAATTATAGTACTCACAAATGGCAGAATTAAGCTGGGCATTGTGGTACATGCCTGTAATCCCAGCACTCCAGAGGCTGAGGCAGGAAGATTACTACAGATTCGAGACCAGCCTGGCTAATTTTGTCATGCCTAAATCTTATAATCTGAACAACTACTTCTAAAATAACAATATGAAATATATTAACTAATGTTAATTTTTTAAAAATTCTGTATCATTTCTATTGTTTTGATTTTTAAAATAAAAAAAATTTAAAACCCAAAAAACCCAAAGAGCTCAAGGTTAGCCTGAACTGCATAGCAAGACCCTGTCTCAAAAAGACAAACAAAAGCAGAATTAGTTATGGAGAAGCAAATTTCCACTAATATAAAATGATTTCTTAATAATGGTCTCCCCCTACTAGAATAGCAAATGCAATCCTGGGCAACAAAGGCAAGCACAACAATCCTTGACCTGAAATTATACTATAAAGCTACTGTGATAAAAACAGTGTGGTACTGGCAAAAAAAGAACTGAAGATCAGTGGAACAGATTAGATAATGCAGAAACAACTCTCAGACACACTAAGTCACCTTATCTTTGACAAAAGTACCCAACTCACTGGAAGAAAGCAAATCTCTTTAATAAATGGTGCTGGCTGCCAGGTGTGGTCGCACACTCCTGTAGTCCCAGCACTTGGGAGGCTGAGGCAGGAAAACTGTTTGCAAGTTTGAGACCAGCCTGGGCTACAAAGTGAGCCCAAGATCAGCCTGAACTGCATAGCAAGACCCTGTCTCAAAAAGACCAAAAAAAAAAAAAAAAAAAAAAAAAGGTGCTGGAAAAACTGGCCCTACACATGCCAAAGAGTAAGCTTGTACCCACATCTTTCACCAAGGACTAACTAACTTTGAAATGGATCAAAGATCTAAATATTAAAACAGAAATATTAAATCTGATGGAAGATAGAATAGGTAAAACTCTTAAAGACACTGGTGTGGGCAAAGACTGTATGAACAAAACCCCAATTGCACAGAAACTGTCACAAAGAATCAAAAACTGGGATCTCGTCTTACTGAAAAGACAATCCACAATGTAGGAGAAAATGTTTGCCAAGTGTTCCTCAGACAAAGGATTATTATCGAGAACACATAAAGAACTCAAAAAAAAAAAAAAATGAGTCCTCCTAGATTTAAAAATCCAACTGAAAAAAGTATTTGATGAATATACACTTCTCAGATGAAATACAAACAGCAAATAAACATATGAAAAATGTTCAACATCACTAATCATTCGAGACACAAATTAAAATAACAGTGATTCCACCTCACCCCAGAAAGAATGGCTAGTACCAAGAAATCAACCAATAACAAATGCTGGAGGGGCTGTGGAGAAAAAGGAACCCTTCTCCACTGTTGGTGCTACCACTATGGATATCAGTGTGGAGCGATTCCTCAAAAAACTAGGATTGGAGGTCCCATTTGACCCAGCTATTCTCTTTTTGGGTAACTTCCCAGAATAATTTAAAACATCATACCACCATGATATATGTGCATCCATGTTCATAGAAGCACAATTTGTAATAGTTAAATCTTGGAAATAACCAAATACCCATTGACTGAGGAATGGATAAAAAAGAAGAGATATTTTTATACAATGGAGTAACAGCCATAAAGAAGGACAAATTTGAGATTTTTATAGGTAAATGGATGCAACTTGAGGTCATAACTCAAGTGAAATCACACACGCATGTGTAAACACTGTATTGTCTCACTAGTGTATAGATCATAGTTAGTTAAGATAGTTCTACTACTGAGAACTCAGAGGGCTGAGTTCACTGAAGAAAAAGGTTTGTGCTTGTACTGTTTGGACAAATAAATGCAGATGTCTTGTGGTCTGAGTGACTGACTTGGACATGCAATGCACAATGTATGTACCATTGTTGTCCTGATAGCTGTGTTTTGAAATTTTTTCTTCTTCTTGAAATAAAAGTGGATTTTTAAAAAAATGGTCACCCTACACACCAAAAGACTGCTTAAGAAAATAAATCTTTCCCAGATGTGGTAGCACAGGCCTATAATTCTAGCACTACAGGAATGGAGGCAGGAGGATCAAGAGTTTGAGGCCAGTCTGTGAAAGACAGAAGAGACAAAAGAGGAGTTTCACACCAAATAGTTTCATTGGAATACCTTCACATTCATTTACATTTTGCTCATGACTACTGTCCCATTACAACTGATAGAGTTGATTACCTGATCTCATGGTCAGCAAAACCAAGTATCACCAGTTTTTCACCTTCACAGTAAAAAAAATCTTCCAACTCCTGGTTCTATGACTTATTATGCCTTAACTATAGTGCTTTTTTTGGGGGAGTGGGGGAAACCTGGGAATGAACTTAGAACCTCACATTTGCCAGGCAGGCGCTGAGCTAAATCCGTGGCCCATAATGCTTTCTTAAGACCCATTTTTTTTTTTTTGCCCTCAAATATTGTATTTAGAGGCATTAAAAAATTGTAAAAAGCTTTCACAGTTGGAATGTAGCCGATAAAACCAAATCTGACTTTAAGCAAGATCTCAAGGTGCTGTAAGTGATATAAAGACATAACTGTGTTTTACAAGAGAGATAAACTGATAATCAACAATTTATGAAAGACCTACACTATAAGGATGCCATAATTTATGTCAGACCTACACTACTGATATAAGGATGCTAAGATGCTAACAAAATTGCTAGTAGTGTTGCTCCTTTTTCGAAGTATGCATTATGGTTCAAAATTATTGTCTTTCCAATAACATTCTAATAACATTAAAACATTCCAATTATAGATGGTCATAATTTTAATAGGCCGGAGCTCGGCAAGTTTGAGGCTAGCTTGGGTTACAAAGTGAGTTCAAGGACAGCCTGAACTGCATAGTGAAAAACAAAAAGATGAAAAATAAAAAGACAGAAAGACCTAATTTTAATAGAGTTAGTAGCTCTAATTAGCTTTGTCAAACTACTGTCAAAATATCTTATTCTTTAAAGGAAATTTCCCGTGTGTGCATCTGCAACTGCAGGTATGTAATACTGTATACTTAAACACTACAGGGTTTCTACTATTCTAGAATAATCCATCAGCTGAAAGCCAATGCAGCTCTATTTCTGAGAACTCTTGTAAGGTCTTCTATAATAAAATTAAGCCAAAACAAAAGGACCAGCTAACAGGCTCTACCCTTAATATTTTATTTAACAAGACTGCCTGGGAGCATTTATTGTAAAACACTTGATATAAAGCATAAGAGCAACATCTAGTACTTGTTATATACGTCTGCTTTTTTTACATAAATTTTTATCCATTTAAACTAACCTAAATTTAAAAAGCTGAAAAACCATTTTGCCATTTGGGAATTAAAATCAGTAATTCTTTTTAACAGAAAGTACTCTATCCTCAGATGATCATCATCAAGTAACTCAAACACCAAACAGTGCTTTAAGGCTCAACAAGCATTCAATCAAATATCAAAATACCAATATGATATTCTAAGATTCCAGTACACATTTTTTAGGAATACACGGAAGAAAAAGGTCTTAGAAGCCTCTTTTACCATTGCAAAAGAGAACAAAAATGAAGTGGTGACAGTGGACAAACTAAAATATTCCAACTTCTCTAAGATTTGTGGTAAGAACAGAATGGTAGCTCTAAACAAATTAGAATAATCTTACCAAAATTGTATAAAACACAAGTTTAAATACCTGAGGGCGACAGAACATTAACTAGATCTCAAAAATGTTCCAAAATGACCAAATAATTATATATTACAATTACACGCTCTACCTTTTCTTGCACTAGTTGTAAAACAGAGGAAAGGAGCAAATGAGGAAATTGCATTATGCCTTGTGCAATGAAATTCACAGACAGTGCCTAACTTACGATGCTTTGACTTCAATTTTTCCAACTGAGAACGATGCTGCAAAAAGTGTACACACACAAAATTCGTTTTCACTTTCAGTACATAATTTAGTAAATTTCATGAGATATTCAACACTTATAAAATATTTTTCGCATTACATGAGATTGTTCAACGGTAGGCTAACAGTGTTCTGGGTCCTTTTCAGGTAGATTAGGCTAAGCTATGACTTCAGTAAACTGTGTAGGAAGTGCGTTTTATTTTCTTAAGCTGGTTGCAATTTTTTTTTTTTTTTGGTACTGGGAATCAAACTCACAACCTCCCACTTGCCAGGCAGGCACTTATGCCTGCTGAGCTAAATCCCCAACCCCTTTACTTTCATCTTGTGCTGTGTTTATGGAGACCTAACCTCATCTAAAGAAGCATTTGTATATGTAGATTGGTTAATGACTTTTGAGAAACTCACATAAACATTTCAAGACAAAATATACCAGAGATTTTGTTTGACTGATTTCTCCCTTTAACCTACCACAAACATTCAGGCAGTGTTACACATTACTTTTGTAATTAAAAAAAAAAAAAAACCTAAAATGTTATTTTAAAACACACCTGAGAAATTCTAGTTCTTAAGAAACTCAGGCAGGAAGATCATCATGAATTTGAGGATAACTTGGGTTACATACAGCCAGCTTTCACTACATAATAAGGTCCTGTCTCAAGTCCCTGATCCCCTACCCCCACCGAACATACACAATTACAACCAATTAGGCTGGGAGTGGTGGTGAATGTCTATAATCCCAGCACTCAGGAGGCTGAGGCACAAGGTAATCCTTAGTTCAAGGCCAGCCTAAATTCAAGGCCAACATGGACTACACAGTGAGACCCTGTGTCAGTTTCAAAACAAAAATGAAATTATAGCTAAAATCAAAATACAGAGATGCATATACTTGTAATGTTTATATTTAAGGCATCCCTAAGGAAATTTCAGCAAGTATGAACAACTTCACTCATCTTTGTATATACAATACAGTACTTACCTGGTTCCTGCTTGATGGTTAGGGTCTTATTCTCTTCTGGATGAGCAACAGGTGGCTGTATCACTGAGGAATCTTCCAAATTTGTTTCATTACTGGGTGGTGTATTATAAACAAATCTCTTTGTAGTTTGGTTTTTCCTCCTTGTTTTGCCAGTCTCTTGAATTCCCTGGGAACCTATATTATTCCAAATAAATACTTTTGCTTGACCTGGAGACTCATTTTCAGCCAATTCAGGAGAACCATGCTGGGTCCAGTTACTGTCACTCATTTGGAAGGTTTCCATTTGGCCCTCGTCGACATTAGAGTCATCATTTTCCATTTTTATATTACTTGCCAAATTGGTAAGATTCTGTGTGGCCCAAAAGCTGGCAATTTTTTGATCCCGTGATGAAGACAGACCATCTCTATTGATTGATTTTCTATTGTTATAGTCCACAACTACAGACTCTGGAGCTTCTGATTTAATGCTTATATTTAAGGCATCTCTAATGAAATTTCGGCAAGTATGAACAACTTCACTCATCTGAAGGTAGCTGGCCACTGTCATCACTTCAATGGCATTTTGGCTAGTGAGCACCAGGTTACCAGAATACAAGAAGTCCAAGATGACTGAAAAACCTTGAACTAAAGCAATATCTAAATGGGTAGTATTATTTTGGTTAGGGCTGTCTTTGTTTGAGACACAATATAAAGTCTTAAAGAAACGGCTGCCTGCAACCAGGATGTTCTTGTGAGCTTTAAAGATTTTTCCATTCACCACAATGCTGACATCACAAAGAATATCTTTCTTTCTCTGTTCATCTAGTTGTCGAAGAAGCTGATAGCAATAAGAGTTCTCATTTGGCCTACTATTGAAGTCACAATATCCCTCTTCTGCTGGTATTTCTGATTCCTGTAATTGAAAAAATTAAATTTTATTTACATTTTAGACCCCCAATCCAAGGCAAACAAATCATTATCCACATAAGTTTTTTTTAAAAAACTATTAGTCAAATATATGGACTAGCAATTATATACATTTTGAGGCTGAAGCTTCATCCCAAATGTTGAAAGGAATGAACAATGTGGCATAGCTCATTGCTGCTGCAAGAAAAATGAAAGTTATCTGATTGAGTACTGTATTCATTATTCTTTCCATATGTAATCTAAAGACATAAATTAACATTTACAATTAAAATGAAAAAGAATTTCTGGTAAAACCTTGATATGCGAGCACAATACATTTTAGAAACATGCTTGTAATTTAAAGCATTGATATATTAAAGAGAATTTCCCCATAACAAATAATGGAAACTCAGATAACTCATTCCACAATCCAAAAATGTTCATATAAAAAATAATTATACTGTAACATAATACAAAATATAAAAGAAAACTATGCAAATTCATCCACACTTACCTTTGAAAACTTTTGTGGCTGGTGTGAGGGAGACAAGAGAAAGGAAGGTTATTGCACAGGGGGATCATTAAGGAAAATCAATGCTATCTATTGGTTCAATGGAATCTTTTTTTTTTTCTGTGAACTTTTTTTGGTGAGGAGGTACAAGGGAATCAATCTCATAACCTCACACTTGCCAGGCAGGTATTCACACCACTGAGCTAAATCCCCGTTTTTTGGGTGCACTTCTAACAAACAACTTAACCTTGCCTCCTTTTGAAGATTTCATAGAAATGTGACATTGCATTGCCATTCAACACATTGCTTGTTCAAATAGCTACAACCTTGTTTGCGTGATGCCTTTCTACAAATTTTTGTACTGTTTTTCACATGTTACACATCTACTTAATTTCACATCTCCTTAATTTCATTTGAAGTGAGGAATTAATTCTTCCTTTTTCTCTTTCTCTGTAGATGAGATCTCCATAACCTCTTATTGTTGGGAGCTGATCATCCACAATCCCACAGTGAGAAGGGGAGGAGGGGAGAGAAGGAGAGAGAAAGGGAGGAGAAAGGAGAATCTTTGGCTTCGTTGTGATCATGAGACATCCAATATTACTACTCATACTGCATGACATCACTCATTTGTCAAGTTACAAATTTATAAGAAACGTCTGTTCTCACAGAATACTCACAATCCAAGGTTTTATATACTTTCTAAGAATTGAAATGTTAGCGGGGCATGGTGGCTCACGCCTGAAATCCTAGCACGGGGGAGGCTGAAGCAGGAGGCTCATTGACAAGTTTGAGACTAGCCTGGGCTACAAAGTGAGCTCAAGGCCAGCCTGAACTGCATTGCAAGATCCTGTCTCAAAAAGAAAAAAAAAAAAATTGAACTGCTTTGCTTCATTGCCTTCTGGTTAATTCTGATCATAAAATATCCAATTTATAATACATGGTGGGCATACACTGTTAAAAAGATAAATTTTAAGTCTTGGAAAACACTGATCAAATAGTTTAGGTCAATAATATTAATTAAACATAAATATTGATAAAGTTAAGAGTCAGGAGAAAATACGCTTCTAATTAAGACTTCCAAACAACAACTTTCAAATGCTTTATCTCCAGAGTCAAAAATACTATATAAGTTATCAAGTAAGCTAATTTACCTGAATTAAAAAGTCATAAATTTTCCTTCTCAATCATACATGGATTTTAGTACCATTAAATATCACTAGTTTGGGTAAACACCTTATGTAACAGTTGTGTGTTACAAAAGAATACGTGTATGATCTAATTTCAGAAAGTTGCTTGTACCAATTAACTGTCTAGCCCTGAGTAAGTCAGTTTCTGCACCTTTTTCCTACAAGGACTAACATTAGCTATAATTAATAACTTTATGACTTTCTTCACTATGTGACCAGGTAAGCTCCCTCTAGGCAGAGTTCTATATCCCCACCCTCTGAATAGTGGTGGCACAGTTTATTAACTCTGAGAAATAACTGAAATTATTATTTTCTCAGAAGAAAAACTGCTAATACATTTCTAAAAGGATAAATGAAAATGTTGGCCTTATTTTAGTGTTAATTTTTTTCATATTTTCTTTTACACTAAATGTTACAAGTCACTTATAAGAAAATATACCCTATAACCAGCACTGAGGAGGCTGAGGAAGGAAGATTCAAATTTGAGTCCTGCCCAGGCAATTCAGTAAAACTATCTCCAAAAAAATAAAAACCTTGGAAAAATAAAAGCTCAGTGGTAGAGGCCCCTTGGGGCCAATTCTCAAAACTGCAAAACCAAAACAAAAACCCATACACATCCATAATTTTATGAGAATGAAGAAAACCGTAAAGACGTAAGCTAGAGTGTAAACATGCTGAAAGGGCAGCAGGAGGGAGGGAAGGTGAAAGGAAGGGAGGCAGGTTGGCAAGACGGGAATGCAAAAAGAATCCTTACAGAAACAAACCATCTAACTGGTGACTGCGAAACAATCACAAAACTCCAAATTAATCATGGGTACAACTAAGCTATAAAAATAGTAATTTTACTATTGAGTCTTGATCATAGGGGCAACACACACAATATCTCAATTTTCTGAAACTAAACCACAATCCATCTAAGAAGTTTGTGCTATACAAGTAGTCAACTCAAACCAAGATACTGTATATTAGAATTGCAAAACACTTCACTATTGCATGGAGATAATGGAGCAGTATGGATGGCTCTCCTAATTTGAGGTATATAATCACTATAGAATGAAGCACTGCCAATAGAGAACTTTTTCATTTCCAATTCACCTTTGACAATATCCCCAACTCATCTTTGTGCCTCAGGCACACAACGCCATCCTACCACAGCAAGCCTCCCCCATTCCCTATTTCCTGTCTTGTCATACCAAAATGTTTAGTGCTCTAAATTAACTATTTTCTCTCCTACCAAAACACATAGTCCTCTGCAAAAGTAGGTTTATTAATAGTCAAGGATAAAATAATCAACACAAATCTATTAATGAGAAAACTTCCAAGTTTTTGCTTTTGGGAGATTGGGGAAAAGAAATTTTGTCGTTTTGTGGTCCTGGGGATCAAACCAAGGGCCTCCTGCAGGCACAAAGACTTTACCAGTGAGCTATACGTTCAGCCCTGTGAAGTTGTTTTATTTAGCCTAGATCTTGAATATTAACCATTATCTATGAACTTTCAAAACATTCAGCAAAAGGGAATGAAACTAGAGCTTGTACAAATATATAAAGAATAAAACAGCACAGAAAGTGCTGTAATGATTACTGCTACCCAGGTATAGTGGTGGTCATCTATACTCTCTTGGGAAGCTGAGGCAGGAGGATTATTACAAATTTGAGGCCAGCCTGGGCTACATAATAAATAGGCCCCCTTGAACTGTATAGCAAGACTGTCTCAAAAACAAACAAAAAACAAAACAAAACAAAAAAACACCCTACAGAATAGTAGTAGTACCAGTAGAGGTAGTAATTACTGTTATAAGTAACTTTCTATAAAAGCATCATACTGCTTACTCGTTTTCTCTTTTAAGACTATCTGAATACAGTTTACTGATTTGCCAATGCATTCAACAGAAATTTTTCTTTTTTCTTTCTTTCTTTCTTTCTTTCTATTATTGATTGACTGATTGATTGCAGTACTGGGGGTCAAACTCACCAGGGCCTTGACATCCTTGTCAAGGACTCTACTAAACAATATCCTTTGCTCTTTAATGTTTTCAGAGAGGGTAGTTTTGCTAGACTCAATTTTTTAAAAGCACATTTGTGCCTATGTTCAAATATACTTTTAAAAATAACTCCGTGAACTGGAAGGCCGAGGTAGGAGAAATGCAAGTTTTTTGTCTTTTTGAGAGAGGGTCTTGCTATGCAGTTCAGGCTGGCCTTGAGCTCACTTTGTAGCCCAGGCAGGTTTCGAACTCGCAGTGATCCTCCTGCCTCAGCCTCCCAAGTGCTGGGATTATAGGCATGAGCCACCCACCACGCCCAGCAGGGCTAGAACTTTTAAAAGGAGAGCACTAGAACTGGATTGGCAGACAGAAAAATACCACTGTGGCAGCAATGGGAAGGAGTAACATCAGGAACTAAGTCTGCAAACACTGTGACCAGTTAGGAAGCTGTCAGAATACTGCAATGCTTTTAGAAGAAAGGAAGACCTTAACAACAAAAGGTAGATGTTAACAGAAAAGAGGTAGAAACTAGGAAAATATCTGAAAGAAAGCTTAAGTAAGCAGAATTTAAGTGAGGATATAGGAGGAAGAGCCAAGAAATATTCTTAACTATTTTCCAGTATTGAACAAGATAACACTACCAGCTTGTGCAACACAAGATCACTGCTGCTTCTGAGGCAGTGAAGCTAACTTTAGCTCAAAGTACTGTTCTAAGTTCAGCTTCAACAACTTAGGTAGGGTCCATCCATTAATGTTAAGAGAATGGTATTTAGTGGGAAAAAAAATCAAGTAGTAGTATTTACTTCTCTCAAAATTTCAGTCCTTGTTTTAATAAATGGATTGGTGGAAAAGAGAATTCCAATGCAAACATCAAAGTTTAAGCTAAAGTTAAAAAAAATCAAAATCTGTTTTTTGTTGCAACAACCCGCTAGAACAATATATTGGAAGAAACTAAATTCCATTTCCAAACCCAAGTTTTAGGCCACTGTATTTTCATTTGTATGGATGGTTCATACTCATGCTATAAGGCATACTTTTTTTTCCTACTTTTACTCGGCCCAAACTCATTCTGCAGAGCCTGTTTCTTTTATCTTTAATAAAACTTTACTACCATTAAAAAAATTTAGAAAAAAATTTCACCTTTATGCAAGAATATGAGGAAGAAGGTTGTTATAGCAAATGTGATATCAATGTGCTAGAGATACTGACAGACTAACAGCTGGCAGAGACACAGGAAGTCATCTGATCACTACTATGATGTTCCACATTTTTGGGATCCTCTTGTGCCTTAAACACTATAAATTTTACCTGTGTGGAAAAGGGAGCGGGAGACAGATTTCAAAGGATTATAACATCCTACCAACTCGATTAACAAAGATACCCTTTATCAGCAGCTTTCTCTTAAAATTTTAAGTGCCCTTAACACACAAAACACAGGTGCCTCTGAACTACACCTTTCTTGAAGATATGAGACATCACTCTTAATGAGCTCAAAAGCTCACACCTGTAATCCTAGCACCCAGGAGGCTGAAGCAGGAGGATTGTGACTTCCAAACCAGCCTGGACTATAGTAAGAACCTGCCTCAAAACAAACAACAAAAACATAAAGACACCATTCTTCATTTTCTTATGGTCCTCCCAACTGTAGTGACAGAATGTTCCTTTTCATTTACAGAATTAAGTTCAAGAGCCAGTTCTACAAGCTTCTTCCAACCTTTACAGATAGAAATGATCAATTCCTTGCTTTATAATCTTCACTGTACCTTGAACATACTTCTACCATGGTATCTATATTAATTTATCCTCATGTCTGTCTCCTTACAATACAACAAAGTTTCCTGAGGGCAGATAAAGTCCTATAAATTATCTCTCGTGCTCTATCTCTATATCTACCTAATATTGTTAAGTTTAAGGGGAAAAATGCCACACCTATACAATAAGGTGCACTAGCAAAAATTTGAAAAACACAAGAAAAATGAACCAGTTTTCATCGAGTCCAATACAACAAATTTTAAGTATCATACAACAGTAAATTCAAGCCATAGGCACTTCTGAAATATCCATTTCTTCTTTCAGTCAAAGATCTTTCAGACTTTTTCCCTAAATCTTTAAATATACAAATCAATCATTCAATTTTGGGTCTTATTCTTGCTCAAAGCAAAGCTGATCTACCTTACCTTCTTTGCTTGCTACACCTGACATCAACATAATCCAACAAGTAATTTCAATCAGATCACTGGTCTCAATTCACTAATTCCTGCAAAGTTTAATTTACAATTTTGTGAGTGCACATTGTAAAGTTCGTAAAATGGAAACACTGACCAACTGATCAAGGCTAGAAAATTTCACAATTGGATAAAGTGGCTTGAATTAAGATACAGTGATAATCACAGCAGTAAAAGCATGTTTAAATCCTCTGGCCAGATGGTTGAATCCTGAACGAGCTAATCACTGAACTTGACTCTGAAGACACAGTCCAGTTGTTACTCAAAATAAAAATAGTACTCTCTGCCCTCAAACAAACAAACAACACAACTCAACTAACTGCATCCTTATATAGGGGGAAAAATACAGGGAAATCTCCATGATAGAAGGCTCTGAACACAGATTTAGAAAGCATGTTTATGGAGTCCCAGTAGAGTAGCCAGTTAGTGTACCTTATCGGAGAGGTGGCACATGCCTGTGATCCCAGCATTTGGGAGGCTGAAACAGGAGGATTGCTGTATGTTTCAGGCCAGCCTGGGCTCCACAGCGAGACCCGGTCTCAAAATAAAAATTAAAAAAAAAAAAAAGCTTGGGATTTGATTTAGCTCAGATGCCCTTGGTTCAAATCCCAAATTATCCCCAGGAGTAACAATACCAAGGTACAAGGCAGGATTGGTGGCACATGCCTATGTTCCCAACACCTTGGAAGGATAGGGCAGGATTGCAAGACCTGCTTGGGTAACTTGAATTATCGAGATTCTATCAAAATAAATAAAAGGTGCTGGTGTTGTATACTGTGTGAAGGCCCTAGGTTCAACCTGTATTGCTGCAAAAAGAATTTTAAAATGTTTAAAAATTGCACAGTGCGGGGCTGGGGATTTAGCTCAGCGGCATAAGCGCCTTGCAAGCAGGCGTGAGTTCGATCCCTGGTACCGATAAAAATGAAAAAAAAAAAGATCAAAAATTGCAGGGGCTGGGGACTTAGCTCAGCAGCATAAGCACCTGCCTTGCAAGCAGGCAGTCGTGAGTTCGATCCCCGGTACCGATAAAAAGGAAAAAGACAAAAAAAAAATTGCACAGTGCCTGCCTGGCAAGCAGCACAAGACCCTGAATTCCTGGTACCTTTCCTCCAAAGTTTAAAAAATAGTTAAGGTACCATTAAAAGAATATCAAAACCAGGTGTCCCAGCTACTAGGGAAGGTAAGGCAGGAAGACTGCTTGAGTTTAGAAAATTGAAGCCACCTTAACCAACAGAGATCCCCTCTCAATCAATCAATAAAATATAAATCAAACTTTTAAAGACTATGTCCAAGTATTTTTGGTCACCAACAGAAATATTAACAAAGAACTTTATTTATAGAAAATGAAAAACAAAAGCAACCCTTAGTGAATACTAAGCTCTGTCCACTTTTCTCAAAAAAGGTCTTTTAAAAAAGAAAAAGGGCTGGGGATGTAACTCAGCAGTAGAGTACTTGCGTAACATATACAAGGCTTTGATGATCTCCAGCACCACCAAAAACTTAGTAAAAGGGAGAAACAAAGGGAGCAAACTACATCAGGCCCCAATTCTTGTCTGAACTTGAAAATTCTCATTTTAATGTTGAAGAAAAAATTAATGCAACATATTATTTATGAAGCTGAGAAAAATGGCATGTATGATGACAAATTGGCTTAGAATGCTCATATTCTGATGGTAAAAGTCTCAGAAGGTATAAAAAAGTTTGTCTTCTAAAATCAAGAGTAATTCCAAATCAGGCATACTGGCACATATTTATAATCCCAGCACTCAGGAGGCTGAGGTAGGAGGATCACTGAGAGTTCAAGGCCAGCCTGAACTACCTAGTGAGATCTTATCTCAAAAAAAAAAAGTGAATTCCAAAAGAGTGGCAGAATCACCAATGTGGTGGTACATGCACATAATCCCAGCACTCAGGACGGTGAATAAGGTAAGCAGTTTGGTAACTCAAAGCCAGTTTTGGGCACTAGAAAGTCTGACCCTCAGTTTGGAAGACTATGTGAAACCCTGTCTCAAAAAACAAACTGACAAAATTGGTGACACTAGCCAGGTATGGTAGCGAACACCTCTAAATCCCAGCACTGGGGGGGTGTGGGGGCAGAAGCAGGAGAAATACCATGAGCTCAAAAACAGCCTGGTAGACATAGCCAGAATCTATAGAAAAAATAATCCTGGGGCTGAGGTATAGTTCAGTGGTCAGTTTGCCTACCTTGTATAAGGCCCTGGATTCACTCTCCAATGTTGCCTTAAAAATGAATCTTGGAGCAGTTACCTGCAATAAAAACAATCACAATAGCCAGGCATGATGTGACGGCTCACGCCTATAGTCCCAGAACTCAGAAAACTGAGGCAGAGGCAAGAAGATCACCATGAGCTTAAAGTCAGCCTCAACACAGGAAGACTCTGTCTCAAAAAAAACAGTAATAATGAAAAACCCAAAATTAATTATGACAATCAGCACATGTATTTTGCATATGTGAGGAAACTAGAAGGTCATTAATCTTCCTGCTAGGAAAGGAGGATTAAGAATCCAAGCTTCCGGATGAACCATGGTCCCAAGAATGCTCTTACAAGCTATGTTATACTGCCTCCTACAGGTAATAAATGGCTGCAAGACAACACAGAGGTAGGAAAAACAGGTAACTACTCAAAAGGACTAAGACAAATTAGGAATCTCTCACTTCTATTAACAAGACAGAAATTTGTAAGACAGCAAGATGTTCCCCACACTTAGGTTAGAAATTAGCGGAATGAGGATCGATTCAAAGTGAAAACACCAAAACTCAACGAGACCAACACAAGGGGACCAAAAAAAGGGGATGAGTACAAACAGGATTAACAACAACAAAAAAGTTCTTACAGAAAATGGCCTAATACATTATAGTAATGAACAATTTTAACAGGGTAAAGAGAAAGGATATTCCAGAAGTTAGCATAAAATTCAACTTGGAATGAATTCTATGAACAAGATATGTCTAAAGAAGGATACACCCATATCTACCAGAAGATTATCCAACCAATTCCCTCCACCTCTGATTTCAAGTTCACTAAGCAGTTAATTATAATTTGCATTCTCATTCAGATTTGCCTACAGGGAAATACTATGCTGATAAGAATAACTGGTCCACTGTTGATTCACCAAGACATGCCTGTAATCCCAGCTACTCAGAAGGCTGAGGTAGGAGGATCATAAATTAGGCCAGTCTGGGCAACTTGGGGAAACCTCCCACCTCAAAATAAAATTCAAAGGGCTGTGGCTGTAACTCAGTGAGTGATAAAAGTGCCCCCAGGTTCAATTCCCAATAGAGAGATCAGTGGGGGGAAGGTATTAAGATTCACTCCAAGTGCCTTTTTAAACTCTTAAATAATTTGCCTATCATTATTTGGAAAATTAAGCTTTCATTTTCCCAAGTTTCCTGCTTCCATCATCTCACTAGGTAACTTCACGAACATATTACTTAACCCTCTTAGATTCCTCTCCTTAAAACAAAAGAGGTATTTGGCACATAGAAGACAAGAAAATGTTAGCTCTATCTCCTTGCTCAGCTCAAAGCCAGTAACTACAGAAAACGGAGTTCTGACCCTGATTTACTCCAACTCATTTCTTTTTTTGTTATAAATCCTTATAGATTTTAATCTCAGTTGTCATCCAGGTCTCAGGACAATTCCCTTAACTTTTCTGGGCTATCTTTAAATGACCTTCCTTCTAAGGCTTAGGTAACTGAAATTTGTATTAAAAAAAAACCCACAAAACCAAGACTACCGTGCAGCTCACTGAGGGAAAAAAAAAAAAAAAGCCTTAAGCTTTAAAGTTAGAGCCCTAACTTCTAAGAAACTTCTGTGCTGTCTGTAGGGTTACTGGTGTGCCTAATTAACTCCAGTGTAAGTGTGCTGAACGGCTGGATCGCTCCAAAAAACACCAGAGAACAACTAATATCTGAACGCAGACTTCCTAAAATCAAGCCTACCGATATAAAAGAATGACACTTCATCCATCTCCACAGGTTGTCTAAAGTCATAAAAAGGACTAATCAACAACTATTTGGCTTGAAAAGGGCTATCAAAATGGTTAGGCTACTATCTTTAGAAATGTTAAAATAAGAACTAAAAACTATTCTACAGCTTACTTGTTTTGTAATTAAGGACTTCTGACTTTCAAGGAGTTGAGTAAACAAATTTTCTACCTTCTCAAATCAACTACAGTACTTGGTACAAATAATACACATTAAACATCTCCAAGGCTGTGTTTAAAGTACTTTCTTATAAACTGTGTTTATAAGAAAGCTTTTGCAAAGAATATAAAAAATTCACAGCCAAGTAGAAGTAAACAAGTAAAAATTACAAATAGCAAAAAGCAAGCCTTGGTGATAAAAAGTTCGACAAGTTTAAGAGATGAATTTAAATGAAATTATTCACAAGTGAAAGGAATGCTTTTCAAACAGCTTTCTCTACATTCATATCTAGCTTTCATATTTCACATTATTTTGACCTAATACAAAAATCTGTACAGATGTTTTCCTAACAGTGAAAACGTCAAAGCTCAGAGAAACTCTTCAATCTCCTCTTCATAAAGAGCAGCTAGACTTACTTCCTCTGGCGCACTAAATGTCTATGAACGTAAGCCACAGGCTTGTCTAAAATCACAGCTAATCACATTTCTACTCAAAATCTTTCAGGTTGAAACTCAACGTTACTTTTTAATTTTCTTTTTAATTCAATCTGATAAGCAATGATGTCTGAGTTGTAAAAAAAAAAACATGAAACAAATTCAGCGCTGTCATTCCATTCCCCTTCCCCTACACAACTTTTCAAAACTTTGTTCCCAGGCTCTCTAACCCCCACGAACACGCTCCCCGAACCTCTCCACTGGGAAGAAATCTTCACCCGGGAAGGGGGTTTTTAAAGCTCATCAACCCAAAGCATCTCAAAAAGTAGGAGCAGGCTGCACTGTACGTACCTGGGCGTTGGCTTCGTGAAGTTTGTGCTCGGCAGAGACGTGGTGCCTCAGGAGCAGGGTTTTCTTATAGGTGCGGGTCCCTCGCGAAAGCTCATCATGTCCCACTTGGGGAAGGTCCACGTTTCCCCCATCCTCTGGGGTCTTTTGGCACCAGCCGCAAAACATAAGGCCAGTATCGTCGGAATAGCGCAGCCAGGGAAAGTCCTTGAGCCAGGAGGTCTGGAAGGAGCACTGGAGCTTCTGCATTAGGGTCTTGGGCCGGGCGAGCGCCAAGTGCTGCACAGTCTCCCCTTCGCCGGCTCCCACACCGCTGCCCTCCACCTCGTCCCCGCCATCGCCGCCCGGCCGCCTGCTGTGGCCGCAGCTGCCGCCTTCTGCCCCGCTGCCGTCGCCCGGGCTCGCCCCCTCCTCTTCGTCCTCGCTGTTGTCGCTCTGGGACGCGCCGTCCTGCAACAACTCCTTGCCCTCCAGCGCGTCCAGCTCCAAATCCACATTCGCCGGCCCTCGCCCATTGAAATGCCTCAGGGGCCACACCGAGGTCTCCGGCCGGCCCCGGCTGCTGCCATTGTTGCCGAGACCCCCGCCACCACCTCCTCGGAAGGCCAGAGTCCGACGGTTCCTTTCCGCTAGCAGAGGGCCCCCCGCGCCGCCGCCGCCCAGCGAGGTGGGGCCGCCCGCGTCCTGGGGGAGCAGCAACTCCTTGGTCTCCTCGGCGGCGGCGGCCTCGGCGGAGGCCTCCACGTCTTGGGGCTCCAGGCCCTCCAATTCCATTTCCTCGTCGGTCCCCCGCCCATTGGGCTGCGGGAGCGCGGGCGGCGCGGGCTGTCTCGGCTGGGGCGGCTGAGGCCAAGCGGAGGCCTCCCCGCCAGCGTTATTGTTCGCGGAGCCGCCGCCGCCGCCGGCGGTGACCAACCCGCCTCCTCGGAACGCCAGCGTCCTGCGGTTCATCTCACTGAACGACATGGCGCGCGCTGCCGCCGCCCGCTGCCCCGGCTGGCGCCCGGCCTCGGGCCGCGTCCCGCGCGCTCGCTCCCCGCGGCTCCCGCGCCGCGCCGCCCCCGCCCCCGCCCGCGGCGCTCGGGTCTCGCGGGGCTCGGCCTCACCCTCCCGCCGGCTCGCGCTCGCTCGTCCGTTCGCTCCGGGGCTGCCGCACGCGCAGCCGCCGCCACCTCCGGCCGCTCGGGTCGTCCTCGCCCCCGCCCGCCGCGCTCCGGGCAGCGTCCCGCGCGGAGAAGGGGGCGGGCGGCAGGCCGCGGGGAGCGCGCGGGGCCTTCGAAGTTGAGCGGCGAGTGAGTGCGGAGCCCCTCGGCCGCCCCCTCCTTCAGCGCCGCGCGCAGCCACCGACCCTCCACAAGATATCCTTCCTCTGGGCGCGCTGAGCAGTCCCGACGCCGCCGCCGGCTTCCGAGGCGCTGAGGGCGAGAGGCGCGTTACACTGCCGGGCTCCGCCACATAACGAGCCGACAATAAAGCCGGCGGAGCGTTTCCGTCCGACCAGGCCCTGGCGGAGGTCGAATGGCAAATGAACAACGGACCGTGCGCCCACAATGCACCGGGGTAGCAGTAACCGCTGGAGGGGGAAAGGGTGGGGGCCGGCGGGGGAGGGGGGCTGGGCTTGGGGCTGGGCCGGGCTGGGGTGGGGGCGCCCGGGGACCGGGAAAGGGGCTGGGCCGCGCCTCGGCCTGGGGGCGGGGGTGCGGCCGCGGGGAAGGAAGTCGGTCGAGGGGCGGGGGACAAAGGGCCGGGCGGCCGGCCGGGGGGTCCCGGGGAGGGGCCGGGCCGCGCGGAGGACAAACAGCTGGCGAGTGTCAGGGTCGGGCCGCCTCCCCGCCGCCCGCGCGCACCTCCCCGCGCCCGGGACGCGCATTCTCCTCCCTCGCCACGAGTTCACCTGGGACTTTGGAAATAACTGCGGTGGGCGCTGCGCTCCAGCCTTGTCATGTGCTGGGGATGGGTGGATGGGCGGTGGGCGGCGGCGGCCGAGGAAGTGAACTTATTTTGTTCCTTCACAAAGACTGGACCAGGCAGTGCCTTGCACGCCGGGAGGTTCGGGCCGCGGACACCTCCTCGGGTGCATTGTGTGTGCCCGGCAACACCTCGGGCCCCGGGCAGTGATCACTGCACAGAAAATGCACCGCCCCGAGTGTCTTGCTGCTGTGATGAAATGGAAATTTAAATAAAAGGTCGAACACGTGCGTTCTCTGGGAAGTATTGACCTGGGTGTTACATCACCAGCAGCCAATCAGATAACTCCAGTCGTGTTTATACTTCTACAACCACCTTGTGAGCATTACAGTATGTCATAACGTTATAAATATTAGGCAGGGTTTTCCCCAGCAGCGGGAAGGAGTCTGCTTCTGCGGGCGTAGTGCTCGGCTCCGAAGAGCGTGTGTGGCTGCGAACTGCAAGGCAGAAATTAATTTTTAAGACTCTTTCGTAGATATTTACGTTGTATGTGGAATTTAGGATGATTACAACAGATTGCACAGGAAATGAACCTCCCATAATTATAACGTTGGTCAGGGAACTCTTACACTCCTGACTTTTAAATTTTTTAATATGCAAAATTTAGCAGGTTTAGAAACATTTGCCAATTTGTAAGATGAGGTAAATTTTAAATTATTTTTGTTCAAGCCTATTTCAGGTAAATGTTCTCAAACAAGAGGTTCTTTTAAGATATATGCTCGTTGAAAGTTGAATCACAAACTATTACCAAATATTTTACATTAAAATGTATTAGAAAAACAAAATACATATTAGAATATGCATAGAAAAGTGATATTCATGAACTCTTTATAGTTATAGATGATACAGAAGGAAGGATTGTTAAAGACATAATCAGCACATGTTAATTTTTAGGCTCTAGTTTTATGATTTTATTGTCTAGAATTTTTTCTATTTTAAAAATAACTATTTGAGCCTTTAAGTATATAATATGAAAAGCAGTACATTTTTTAAAATTAGCTTTAAAAACAAATTTACGTAAGCACTTTATAAGACAGCATAACTCATGCATTTGTATGGATTATATAAATTTATTCAAAGCCACTTGCACTTAATTCACTCTAATTTTAGTACCTATGTAAATGAACAATGTTGGGTATCAAACAAAAAAACATCAGTTCCACCTTACAGAGTAAATGCAATTTCATTGTAAAGAATGATGCTACTGACAGGAGTGGTGTTGCACTCCTGTAATCCCAGCACTCATTAGGCCAAAGCAGGAGGATCACTGCAAGTTTTGAAACCAGCTTGGCTACGCAGTGTCCAAAGATAGCCTGGGAAAAAAATGAAGGTGAGCTTTAAATAATTTTTCCAGTAATAATCATATTGTCCCATATCCAAATTATCATCTTGGCAGCAATGATCAATAAGCTTGAAATTTTGATACAGGCCCTTGGGTTGGTAGCATGTGTAGGTTTTAGAAAGTTTACAATAGTGGAATTTATGACTTGTACCCTGGAAAATGGAGAGTTCTGATACTATGACTGAATATATGTGCCTTATATGGAGCCATGTAATATTATACTTTTTCCTTAATGTACTTTTAAATTCTAGGCATTTTACAAGTAAATACATTAGTTATTATATTTTAACCAACACAGCCCTATCCTCCTTAAAAACTGGGGTTATTAACAGGCGTGCCTGCACACAGCTGTAATCCCAGAACTCTGGGAGGCTGAGGCAAGAGGATCAGTAAGTTCAAGGCCAGCCTGAACATATGGAGATCTTGTGTCAAGGGAAAAAAAAAAAAAAGAGAGGTGTAAAGTTAATTGCTTATGTGCAATTAAGATGATAGAAGACAAAAATGGATTTAAATTTTTAAATTTCAATTTTAAAATCTGCTTTCATTCCAAAACTAAATTTAAATCTGCTTCCTCTCTTCTTATATTCCTATTACATAATAGGTGTTTTATCAAGTGATGCTACTCTATAAATTGGGTTTTTTTGCTTTCTAGTAGTGCGTAGAATCACCCAAAAATGTGTGAATTCAGGACTGCATATTTCTCACATATCTATTTTACCAAATGTTTATTTGTTCGGAAACAGTGTCTTGCTATATAGTCCAAGCTAGCTTGGAAATCACAACAATCCTCCTGCCTCAGCCTCCTGAGTGCTGGGATTACAGGCATGTGTTAGCACCCCTGGCTTTTACCTAATGTCTTATAAAATGTTCTAGAATTACATTTAAACCGAACTGATCAGTTTGTGGCAGATTCAAGGGATACAAACAAATGGCTCAGATTCTAGGACCACTGAACCAACAGCCAAATGGTTCCCTTGAGTAGGTTGTGTGCATATGTGTACCTTTGTGCTTATATAACCATATTTCTCATATATGTCGTATGTGCACATTTATGAAGTTATTTTCCTGTAAACCCTAAAGGAAGGTCAGACACCCTAGTATCAGGAAGCTCAAGGGGCTGGTCCTCACAGCTGTCTCTCAGAATATATACCCAGTAGCAAGGGAACTTGAGCAGCAGAAGGGGATCTCCTACTCTGTAAATGGAGTTTTTAGGAATTCCCCCACCCCTTCCAGTCTCCTGCTAGCAAGCAGGGATCTGTTCTCCCCTTTTGCCCCTGTACTTACTGTTAGGGTTCTACCATATTTAAGGGATTCCCCTTTATGTTTACCAGGGGAACCCCTCAAGAATGGGGTATCCCCAAGCAGTTTGTCCCCTAATTTTACTTGACTCTGTAAAGCTGCAGGAGGTGGTTCTTGAGACTGTGGCACCATGCCTCCAAGATGAAGATTCGCTCCTGTACCTCACTTGGATGATATTCCTTGGTCAAACTCAACTGGCCTTTACTAAAGCCTTAGTGAGGTCCTGTGCTTCTCTCGGCATTGGCTCTTGGTTCTGGAGAAGACAGCCTCCAGTTCCATCTGTGACATTGGCAGGGCTCAGCCACCACAGCGAAGTACATCAGGGTAGGGGGCCTCTTCTCTGGTCCTGGGCTGGCATAAAGTAAATGAATATTGGGTGTTTATGAGATGATTTATTATATATCTTCCATTGCAGTCTTTTTTGATGGATCTTTCTCTTTCATTTTCTTATGCAAGTATTGAGTTAGCTGGGCACCATAGCAACTCAAGAGGAGAATAACAAGTTGAGGCCACTCTGGGCAATTTTTGTTTGTTTGTTTTGAGACGGGTTCTTGATATGTAGTTCAGGCTGGCTTTGAACTCGAGGTGAACCTCCTGCCTCAGCCTCCTGAGTTCTGGGATTATGGGCATGTGCTATAATGCTGGGCCAGCTTGAGGAGTTTGGCAAGACCCTGTCTTAGAAAAAGAAAAGGGCTGGGTTATAGATCAGTTGTAGAGTATGCCTGAGTTCAATCCACAGTGCTACAAACACACAAAATGATACTGAGTTAATGTTTCCACTGGGTTTACATTAAGGGTAATAATAATTATACTTGAGTAGAAATAATGTCAGTGAAGTTCTCTGCCTGGTTTACAGGGAGTTACAGTTGGCCAGCCTCCCTTATGTGTTAAGTTAGTGTAGGTGTTACAAAAAGTACAGCCACCTAAATCACCCTTTGCTACTAAAACAGGCATGAGGTGCTTTCTGTTTACTTTTTCTAAGACAAAGTCTCCTACATAACCAAGGCTGACCTTGAACTGGTGATCCTCTGCCTTAGCCTCCCAAGTGCAAGGATTGCAGGTACACACCCATACACTCAGCTTCCCAGTATATTTAACCCATGTTATATCTGCATGATTATAAGCCACAAAATGTTAAACTTTCTGTTTACACATTGAAATATGCCTATAGGAAATAAAAAGATCACCCATTGTTTCGAGTAACCAGAATAAAGCATTGTTGTCTAAATAGTCTTCATTTAGGGGTTTGGGGAAAAAAACTCTGATCTTAGGTCTGGCACGGTAGTGCATATCTGTAATAAAAAGAGTTCATTTAGATGATTTACCTAATTGTTTAATATTCATAAATTGTATCTTAGCATATTTGTGCTTCTCATAATGTGCCTTAGTACCCACAAATATTTTTAGTATTTAATGACAATGGATATACCATAATTGATATAACTAACATTTTATCATTTTTGCCATTATATGTAAGTTTTTAGGGCACCCCATTTGAGATGCCTCCTGTTTCCTAGGAAATACTCCTATTTCCCATTCCTTTTCCCAATAAATTTTCCTATTTTTTTTTTTTTGGTACCAGGGATCAAACTCTTGCTTACCAGGCAAGTGATTGAGCTGCTGAGCTACATCCCTGGACCAATTTTCCTACTCTTAAAAACACAAAAAAAGTTGGGGCCAATGATGTAGTTCAGCAGCACAGTGCCTGCCTGGCAAGCATGAGGCCCTGAGTTTAGTTCCTGGTACAAAAAAAAAAAAAAAAAAAAAAAAAAAAAAAAATTTAGCTTTTTGTATATTTTCTTCCTTTTTTTCTTTTTATTTATTTTCCTTTTTTTTTTTTTTTTTGAGACATGTTTCTCTGAGTGTAGTTTAGGCTGGCCTCTAACAGCAATCCTCCCTCAGTCTTG